CAGCGCGGCGTTCATGGCGCGCAGCACCGCCCCCCGCTCCTTGCTGCTGCCTCCCCTCAGCTGCAGCACGGCCGCGTCCACCCAGCTGTCGATCAGCGTGGAGGTGACCGCGCTGTGCTTCTGGCCGAGCAGCGAGAAGAGGAACCTGGCGATGTTCCCCTCCCCTTCGATGGGGCACATCGTCTGAACGCTGAACTTCATCTGCGGCTTGGGCACTGAGGGGAAGGGAAGGAAAAAAGGAAATACCACCTGACAGAGAACTTAAATGTGAGGGTAACTCTACAATGTTTCTGATATATCATGCCAGCAACATAACAATGAACCATTTTCAGTTTCTGTAGTCTAAATACTTAGACTAAGGCAGGAGGTTCGGATGAAAAGATCACCTTCTGCAAACTTCAGCCCAATCTCCCACTTAGTTTCTATTCTAGCTAATTTATTTGTAGAAACTGAAAAACACTTCCTAAAAATCATGTAATGCCACATGTATTTTAATAGCAGTAACCACGAATAACAGTCTTCCTCCTCTGTCCCCATTACTGTTCACAGCTATAAAAAGAGAGCAAAAATATTACCCACAGTACGTATCCATTGTGTGTCAGCACAAAGACACCAGAGCATCTGCTGAGAAGGTTTTATAGCACAAGTTCCATTTTCTCACTTAGGGTAAAATACAGATCTAGAAGATAACTTCACACTTACCATCCTTCCAAATGAGAGTAAAGCCCAACTGATATTCATGACGTGGTTGCTTCTTGCTCTGCTCTCCAAAGCATTTCAGGAGGTTTTCTGGCACACTTTTCACTGATGAATGTGTGTGAACAGCTGATAATATTTTATACCGTTCACAAAGCAGACTGTGTAGTACTAGGAGTGACAGTGGAGGGAGAGAAGGATTTGCATTGATTACAATATCTTTCAGGGCACCATAATCCTGAAAGGAAAGCAAAACATTCAGCAAATAAGACACATTTCAGATTAGAGTTTGAAGCAGTGGAGTCTTCATTTGACATCAAAATGTACACAGAATTTCAGGTATACACTTGCGTGGCTAATGGTATTAAAATAATTCCAAAAAATTAAAAAAAAATTTAAAACTTGCTTAAATATGTAAACACCTTCCTTCCCCAATGTGTAATTTGGGAATAAGACTGAGGAAAATTCTAGTCCAATCTGAACCCAAAGTTAAAAGTTCCAGTTAGTTACAAGCAAGAAACCAACTGCCAAAATTTCAAAATTAACCATTTTATCTTGGAATTGTATCCATATGAGAATACATAGGATTTTTTATTTATAAATGCTTGTACCTATACTCTGGATGCCCAGAATGAAATTGTAGCTGTAGGGTAACTGTAAGGACATAAGACTTTTATATTGAATTCTGAGTGTCCCAGGTTTTAATGCTACCCTCCCAAGCCTGAAAATCTGAGAGCAAAGAAAGTATCTATCCGTGTATATGCTCAACTAAACTTGCCTTTCCAAGCATCACATCTAAATCTGCTCCATTTGTTGCCAAAGGAGAACATTCATCACTTTGAATTATGTCTGTTACATCAAAGTCAGCATCTGGGGTTTGTATCATCTTTGAGAGACCATCAACAGCACTCTTCAGTTCATACAAGCGTTTCAGAATCTCTTCCTGGCGGGATTCAAGTGCTTGAAGTGAGGGGTCAGTCTCTTCCTACAGGAGAGGAAAAGACAAAGTCACCCAAGTATTCACTCAGCTCAGTGTTGCAACAGTTCACAGCTCACTTGACAGTAAGTTTTGAAAGAGTTTAAACACATTCAAATAATTGAAGCATCATGGGATGTCACAATCCCATCAACCAAACATCTTCCTTCAGTCCAATGGATAAAGAGATAGCAAGCAAGGTGCCCAAGTGAAATCCTGATACCCTCTTTCACAGTAGTGTCAATGACAAGACATGGAAACGCCTCTTAAGCAACTGTTATTTTAGTAGTACACCATTCTATAAAATAAAAAAAAACTCCCAGAGGACACTGGTAATTAATACTTTGCTGTTGCCATGGGAGGGCGTCTTGGTAACTTCCTGTGAATTTTGCTCCAAGTCTGCTCCTACCCGGTACCTCCACCAGCAGCCTGGGCGAGGGCACAGCAAGCACTTGCTGAGAAGATGCAAAGGCATCAAGCTAAAAATGGCCTCAAGCAGCCTGGAGGAATTCAAAACGTTCCTGGCACTGGAGAGAAGCTGAGGTCAACTGGGTTAAGGCAAAATAGCGTTACCTTATTGAACAAATAAGCAACTGAGACTAGGAAGGGTGTGTGTAGCTGGCTAGCTCTTATCTCACCAGCAGAAAGGAAAATAGACCTGAGCCAAGGGAGCGGCGACGCTGCTGGAAGGGAGGAGGCCCGCAGGAACAGCAGTCGGCGGGGGCCTTGCAGGGCTTCAGCCCGTCAGGCCAAGTACAGCCGCGGAAAAACGGGAACAAGGACACGTGCGAGCCCAGGGAAAAGGCAGCCGAGAGTGGCCGGCG